TAAAGAGGAAACATTATTATCCTCATGAAGGAATCATCATCCTACAAGACCAAAACATGGCAAAAAAATTTTTAAGCCATTCTTAGATAGTTCACACAAAGTAAATAATCGAGGGTGTGCAGACCCACAATTTGGTTAATCCCCAAGGAATAAAATACAAAAGAAGCCCTAAAGGGGCGCATTTTATCATTACATAAAAATCCCATAGGGCATAGTCAAATAAGCCACTAAGGGCTAAAAAGAAACAAAAAAAACTTTAGCCCATTAGCTCACTAGAACCCTTAGTTCCTCAGAAACACACTTATGGTAAGTTGCCTTCTCTCGGGGAGCTTTTCCAACTGCTACCATGTCACCCTCAGGCTAAATCTAGGCGTATTCATCAACATATGTTCTAAAATTCTCAAAGAGTGAAATCTCTTCTTCCTCCATCAGTTGGCTTTCATGAATTACGTTGAAGAGGTACATTTGGCTAAAATCCAACTCAGGATATAGAAAGACAACCTGTTATTTCTCCCACTCAAAATACGAGTCAAAAGTGTCCACTAGCTAATCCTTGAGTGTGAACAACTCCTCCCCCATTTTCTCTTTCGAACAAAAAGCATCCTCAAGGGGTTCCTTCAATTTTCTCTCTCTAAAATAGTGATATATCAAGCCTTTGACTCCACCTACTCATGTTTGGCTACCAATACCTCATTCTTTTTCTTTAAGGTCTTCAATATCACTTGACCTTTGGCGAGATTCCTCTGAGAGGTAGCCAACTTTGACTTTAGCTCATTCACGATTTTGGCATGTTTCTTTCTCTCATTGCATTCCATCAGCAAGTAGCTCTCTTTTACTCCAGACAACTTGTAAGGCATCTAATTAGATATGGCCTTATAGTCACCGAGTAAATCTTCGTTGAAAGGAGGGTAAGCTAGTGAATTTTATAGTGTCTATTGCGGGATCATTCCACATGGAGGATTAAGGAGGCAAATCATTTTTCATTGGCGACAAATGCTCGCCAACTCTGTAAGCTTCATGGATCAGGGTCTTCTTATCCTTATAAGCAAGCGAGGAACCCTCGTCTTATTTTTGTATTTTAGAGGCATGAAGCTCATGGGGCGTCTCACCCCCAGATTTCCTCTTGGTCCCTTTCGTCATCAAGTTGTCTATGTAACTTTATAGGCTATCTGTTTCTGGGCGCTTGACTATCCTCTTGGAAAAACACTCTATTCTTTCATTCATAGGTAGTTTAGAGTTTTTCTCTTTAAAAAGAGAGAGGATAAATACGAGTAATCTAGCTAGTAAGAAAAACCCCAAATAGGGACCATTACAATCTTAAACTTGCTTATATATATATATATATATATATATATATATATATATATATATATATATATATATATATATATATATATATATATATATATATATATATATATATATATATATATATATATATATATATATATATATATATATATATATATATATATATATATATATATATATATATATATATATATATATATATATATATGCTAATGTAAGCCCACTTATTTTTAAAAGGTCTATTTTAGCAAGCTTTAACTAGAAAATGCTTAATTGCACCTTAAGGTGCTGGTTGCTAAAACAAACCTTCATAAAAACAAGTGGGTGTATTATAGCAAACCCCACAGGGGTTTGCTATAATACACCCACTTGTTTTTATGAAGGTGTGTTTTAGTATGCTTTAGCTATAAAATGGTTAAATGCACCCTAAGGTGCATGTTGCTAAAATAGACTTTCATAAAAACAAGTGAGTCTATGTTAGCAAACTCACACACACACACACACACACAGATATATATATATATATATATATATATATATATATATATATATATATATATATATATATATATATATATATATATATATATATATATATATATATATATATATATATATATATATATATATATATATATATATATATATATATATATATATATATATATATATATATATATATATATATATATATATATATATATATATATATATATATATATTTGTTTTTGTCATTGTTATCCCCGAGTTTAAGATGATCATGGTACGAGAACTCATGACCTTGAACTCGTCCAAAAGCTAAACTAACTCCATCTCATCCATTGCGATGTAGTCAAAATTATACCTGATGATTGCCATCTGATTATCTTTTTAGGCTAGAGAAAAGCGAGAGGCGTTGTCCATCCCAATTATGATCATAAAAGTGTCATCTCACCTTCTAACTCTCACGAACTTGTCTTTCCAAATTTTGTACTGATTGAAATATGGTTTGAACATGGATTTTCCATGCAAGACATTTAAGGTTACCCAACCGCCTCTGACGCTCTTCTTGGTGTCGTGGAAGGAGAAGAAAATCCCTATGATATGATGGACCTATAGCCACAAACATATGATTCCAAAAGCACGAAGCAACCTCTAGCCATTGGGTAAGATCTGAGATAAGGCAACTTTAATCACCTTTAGAACCTCTGCCTCAAACTTTAAGAAGGGAACTAAAACCCCTAGGTCACTGACAACTAGGGGATGTGGGTAGAAATAAGGTTTGGGAAAATTATCCATGGTAGTTATATTGGCCCTCTCTTCCATAGAACACGCCTCTAGGATAACCTCTTCCTCGTCACCTAAAAAAAGAAAGGTTGACATGTTGCTGAAACAAGGTTATCTTTTCCTCACTGATGTAATAGGTCTCAAAATCCTCAACGCCATTGGATTCAAGATCAGAGGTAGTCGTTAACTTCTTTCTTCTTGAGAAAATGGAAGGGAAAAATGAGTCACTATCACTAACACTGGTATGATCGCTATCACAATTAGTGGAACCTTAACAACTACTAAACTTCTTAACTCAACTAGTAAATCCCTAATTATTGCCATAAATGGGGAAAATAGAGAAGGAATGGTAACAAATCTGTACCTGTAAATAAGGGGACTGAGAACTTGAACTTTAGAAGATTGTAAGGCAAATATGCTCTTAATGGATTTTGAGGAAACTTTCAAGGACTTCAGAGATGCGCAGAAAAGTAAAAAGGTTAGGGTTGAACCCCTTTTATTAAGATGTAAAGGTTAGCTATAAGGGGATAAATGGTATCTCCCTAGGTTCCCTAACAGTCACAAAAGATTCTTCGTGTTTTCAAAAAGTGTGGGATTTTAAGGTTTTTCCAAGACTAAATCATCATTGATCACATTTGATGTTGCGCGTGCGTTCCACCTCAACTAACATTTAAAGATCTCCCTCAACTAACATTTGGGGATTTATCTCATTCACACCTGGAGGTCTGCCCCAAACTACGCTTGGGGAACTCGTCCCAAATATATATGAGGGACTCTCCCTAGACACTTTTGAGGGTCTCACCCCCCAATAGGCATGAGGGATTCTCCCTAAGTACACTTGGGAGACTCATTTAGATAAGAAGAGGAAAATAAACTAAATCACTTCGCCCTTTCCAAACCCTCATGCTTAAGGGATCGTGTATTGGTATATTCGTAAAAGGAGTACAAGAGGTGACATGGGAAGTTACTAAAGGGAGGCGACATAAGATATCGTCTCCGTCAGCCTCTTAGTCACCCATTTATTGGAAGGGGCGCCTATCAATTGATTATGACGCTTATTTCCCATATGACTCGTTTTTTTTTGTGAAAACGTGGAGGTGATATATCCATATCCATAACAGTGTAGGAAGGAAGTCAAAAAAGGGAGGCACATTCATCGAAAATAATATGAAAGATAATTATCGGTTTCTTATGCTCTGAGAGTGAGTATTATTTTCTTGAGAGACTAAGTTCCAAACCTAAAAAATTCATATAAATACAGCAACCCTAAAGTAAAGAAAGACATTAAACTTTATTCGTAATACACAAATATACAAAGCTTACCATCACATCTCGTACTCTAACACCTTAACAACTATAAAAATCTTTAACAACTCTATATATCACAAGCGTGTGCCACATTATACTTTTAATTAAAATATTTCTTATTATTATCTTTTGGGTAGATAAACATCTATTCAAATTCATAAAATTAATATTTTATTAACATAAATAATTTTGTTTATTATTTCAAAATTAAAATTATTTTAAGTATAATATCTTTAAAATATATATAATTGTTGTTGGAGATTTTTTTATAAACAATTTGCACTTACCAAAATTCAAGCATAAAATTTTAAAAGGAATACATTCTCAAACTCAAAATTTAAGCCCTCACGACTAAACCAGACACTTTTGTTGGAGTTATTAATAGGCTAAGAATTTTGAAGGGACAGCTAGTACAATGGAGATCGACGACTGGTGTTGTCCCGTATGTTTATCACAAATTGAACCGCACCATAATTTTTTTACAAAATCACTATTTTAATACATCAATAGTTAGTAGTACTAGTCATAAATTAATAATCCATAAATAATTAACTTGATTGGCTTTACTCTCATAATGAAATGATTTGTTGACTTAATTACACACTCAGAAATATCGCCTTTACTAAACGGTCGAAAAACCGGAAACCACCACCGGACACAACCGGTACCCAAAACATGCATTTAGATTGAATTTGGGTTCATTTCAATGCAAACTAACCCCGGTACCACGCTCCACCTAACCCTAGTCAGAATCTAACCCCGGTTCGGTTTATATAAACACACTCCAAATTTACATCGCCACTGGTTCACCCCTCCAAGCCCACCATCACCATCACCATCACCATCACCATCTCGATCCCAATCCTTCCACTCTTTCTCTACGCTTCTTGTAACACCGTGTTAAAACAGCTATGAAAGCGCATTGAGATTTGTGTTTTTGTTTATATATTTTAGTTTTAGTATTGAAGTTAGTTTAATTGTGTGGGTGAGTGTGTTGTGTTGTGTATGAATTTGTTTGATGGATGAAGAAGGAGAAATTGTGAGAAACCAAGAACACGGTGATGGTGTTAATTTATATAGCTAGTTCTTCTATTTTTTAAGATCCATTTTCACTCATGAAGAGACTCGCCACCTCAGATTCTTCATCACCTCTCATCACAATCTCTCCATCAACAGGTTTGTTAATAATGTTTACAAATTTCAGACACAGATCTATGTTTCTTTTTATGGAAGCCACTTTTAGAATATATACCATGTTTTATTTCAACTTTGGTTATAGCAATTACTGTTGTATTTTGATATAAATACTTATAATGATTATGTTTTTGTTTATTTGATTCAGAAGAACATAGTCCGAGGAACAAGCATGTGTATGGTATGGAGTTTCAATCCATGATGTTGGATGGATTCGAAGAGGAAGTTTGTGTTGATGAAACCGGTCATCACTCTGAGAAGAAACGGCGACTGAGAGTGGATCAAGTTAAGGCTTTAGAGAAAAACTTTGAAGTGGAAAACAAGCTTGAGCCTGAGAGAAAGGAGAAGCTTGCGATAGAACTCGGGTTGCAGCCAAGACAAGTTGCTGTTTGGTTTCAAAATCGTCGTGCGAGATGGAAGACAAAACAGTTGGAAAGAGATTATGGTGTTCTTAAAGCTAATTATGATGCTCTTAAGCTCAAGTTAGATGCAATTACTCAAGACAACAAAGCTTTTCATAAGGAGGTACTAAAATAGTTATGAAAAAGTTTATTTTTGTATCATAAAGCTGAAGTAATTGAAATTTGAGTGTTTGTTGTGTTTACAGATTAAGGAATTGAAATTGAAGCTGCAAGAAGAAGAGAAAAGTGCAAGCAGTGTTTTGGTGAAAGAGGAGATGATAACAATGGTTGAATCTGATGAAAACAAGCATAACCCATCTTCCGAAACATCAATTCCTAGTTTAGAATCTAAGGATCATTTGAATTATGACAGCATCATCAACAACAACAATAGTTTTGGTGTTGGAGAAGCTTCTTCACTTTTTCCAGCAGATTTAAGAGACGGTTCTTCTGACAGTGATTCTAGCACAATTTCTTCATCCGGAGGAATTCTTCAAAGTCACCTTTTGTTGTCTCCTGATTCTTCCTCCATGAATTGCTTCCAGTATCAGAAATCTTATCATGTGAAAATGGAGGAACAAAATTTCTTGAGTGCTGATGAGGCGTGCAATTTTTTCTCTGATGACCAAGCACCGACGTTACAATGGTACTGTCCAGATCAATGGAGTTGAACTTAATGGAAACAAAACGACGATACCTCAATTTCTTTGTAAAATAGTGTCTGGTTTGGTAGCAAAACTATGGCTATGTGTTGTTCACGTGAAGGAAAGAACAGAGAAATGGATGGGATTAGTGTTTGATTATGGCTCTGGTATGGGGTTGAATAACTACTATGTGGTAATGATGAAAATCCATTGTGTAAATTATTTTAATTCAAGCATAAAAATTTGCTTTATCTTTCTATTATTTTACTGTTAAAATTAATAAAGTTCAAGTTTTGTTATGCATTTTTGGGACATTTTTGTTATTTGTTGATAATATCAAATTTATTTATATTAGTACCCTAATGGGTATTAGTAATAATTCATATTTTATTATATTACTTTCTTAAGCCTATAAGTTTGTTAGAGGGTATTTTAGTATTTATCTTATTCTAGTAACTCTAGTTTTAACATATAAATAGGGTGACAATCATTGTAATTTTTAGTTCTGTTTCTTCTGCCGTCATTCTTAATAGAATAATTCTACCTTTGCACTAACAATTGGTATCTAGAGCTTCGGTTCAGATTCATTGGGAAACACGGGAAACACGAGTGAACGTGAGGTCTTGTGTGTTTGATTTTGATTCTTAGATTCGTGTTGAATCTTGAACAAAATCTGATCAGAATTTTATTCTGTGGGTTGAGAAACACTGTGTGAGAAATCTGAGTGTATTGTGCAAGGTAGAAGATGAACGGAAACGGCAACATGAACACCAAACTTCCAGTATTTGATGGTAAAAACTGGAATCGTTGGATGATCCAAATGCGTGTACTATTTGGTGCTCAAGATGTTCTAGATCTTGTCACTGATGGTTATGTTCCAGTAGCAGCAGATGCAACAGATGAACAGAAAAACGCGCAGAAGGAAGTAAGGAAGAAGGATCAGAAAGCATTATTCTTTATTCATCAATGTGTTGATGTAAATGTGTTTGAGAAGATTGCAGATTCAACGACAGCAAAGGCTGCGTGGGACACACTGGTTAGATGTTATGGTGGTGACGCATCAGTGAAGAAGGTGAAGCTTCAGTCCTTGAGAAAGCAATATGAGAATCTCAACATGAAGAATAATGAGAAAGTTTCTGAATACATCTCCAGAGTGATTCTGATCACTAATGAGATGAAGGCGTGTGGAGAAACTCTTTCTGAAGAAACAATCATGGAGAAGGTATTGAGATCCCTTACCTCTCAATTTGATTACATTGTGGTAGCAATAGAACATTCCAAAGATCTGAGTACCATGAGAATTGAAGAGCTGCAGAGCAGTTTAGAAGCGCAAGAGTTGCATTTGACTGAAAGAACTTCTGAAAGGGAAGTAGAGCAGCAGGCTCTGAAAGCAACTTCTGATAGGAGGTATCAGAAGCAGTCAGAAGCCAGGAGAAGATCTGATGGTGGTCAGAAGTCAGAAAGCTCAACCTCTGATAGACAAAAGAATGCTCAGAAGGGAAAAGAGAAGTATGACAAGAAAAAGATCCAATGTTACTGTTGTAAGAAGTTTGGTCACTTTGCTAGAGATTGTTGGTCAAACAAGGAGAAGAAATCAGAAGAAGCAAATATAGCCAGAAGTTCTGATGACGAATCTGTGCTATTGATGGCCTCTGAATCTGATGATCTGACAGACTGGTGGTATATGGACACTGGCTGTTCAAATCATCTTACTGGAAACAAGAAATGGCTGGTTGACTTTGACTCTGAAAAGAGAACAAAGATCAGATGTGCTGATGACAAATATCTTAATGCAGAAGGTATGGGAAATGTCAGAGTGATTCTGAACAATGGGAAAACAACATTGATTCAGAACGTGTGGTATGTACCTGGCATCAGAAGCAATCTGATGAGTGTGGGACAATTAATTGAGAAAGGTTTTTCAGTTACCATGAAGGACAATCTTCTGAAGTTGTATGACTGCAATCAGAAGTTGATTATGGAGTCAGAACAGGGAAGGAATAGAACATTCAAGGTGAATGTCAGAACTGCAGACTCATAATGTCTTAGTGCAACATGTGCTGAGAAGGAGAGTGAGCTGTGGCACAGAAGATTTGGTCATTTGAATTTCAGAAGCCTAAAACATCTGAATTCAAAGAAGCTGGTACATGGAATTCCTGCAATTAAGAAGCCTGAAAAGTCATGCAAAGTTTGCATGGAAGGAAAACAACCAAGATTGCCATTTGCATCAGAAGTTGTTCCAAGAGCAAAACATGCCTTGGGAGTTGTACATTCTGATGTGTGTGGTCCATTTCCAGTAGCATCAATTGGAGGGAATAAGTACTTTGTGTTGTTTGTTGATGAATTCACAAGAATGACATGGGTATCCCTTATTAAATTTAAACATGAGGTGTTTGATGAATTCAAGAAGTTCAGAATGAAGGCTGAGAATCAGAGTGGTCAGAAGTTGAAGATTCTTAGAACTGATGGTGGAGGTGAGTATAACTCCAAAGAGTTCCAGAAGTTCTGTGAGGAGAATGGAATTGAGCATGAGGTTACTGCTCCTTATACCCCTCAACACAATGGTCTTGCTGAAAGAAGAAACCGTACTTTGCTTGATATGGTGAGAAGCATGCTAAAGGAGAAGAAGCTTCCTCAGAAGCTCTGGGGAGAAGCTGTTGCCACTGCAACGTATGTACTCAACAGATGTCCTACGAAGAAGTTGAAGGAAATAGTTCCTATGCAGAAGTGGACTGGAGACAAGCAAAGTGTTAGTCATCTGAAGGTGTTTGGTTCTGTTTGCTATAAACATGTTCCAGAAGCCAGAAGACAGAAGCTGGATGATAGAAGCAAAGTAATGATTCTGATAGGGTACCACAGTACAGGTGCATACAAGCTCTATTGTCCAGAAACCAACAAAATTGAATTCAGCAGAGATGTGATTGTGAAGGAATCAGAAGTTTGGAATTGGGATAAGTCTCAATCTGATTCTGATGTTAGAACTTCTGAAGAAAAGTCAGAGTTAAGAATTTCTGAAGTTGAAGTAAACTCTGACGTTGATTCTGACTCTGATAGTGATTCTGACTCTGGAGAAGACTCAGAAGATGAAGGTGACTCTGATGATCCAGACTCTGATGGTAATCCAGATTCTGGTGGAAATTCAGACTCTGAAGATGGCTAAGGCTCTGGAGGAAGTCAAGCCTCTGAAGCTAGAAATTCTGAAGTTCAAGACTCTGGAAATATGCCAGATCCTGAAGTTGGTCAAAGCTCTGGAGAAAGTCAATCATCTGAAGCCCAAGACTCTGAACAAGTTCAGAGACCACAAAGAATCAGAAGCGTTCCCAGAAGATTTGCAGAATTTGACATGCTGCAAGACACTGAAGTAGACTCTGAAGGAGAAGTTATTCAGTGTGCCATGTTAGTAGACTCTGAACCCATAAGTACAGAAGAGGCTCTTAAGCAGAAGCTCTGGCTGAAGGCCATGAAAGAAGAACTTGATGCTATAGAGAGAAACAAGACTTGGAAGCTGACAGAACTTCCAAAAGACAAGAAAGCCATCAGCGTCAGATGGGTTTTCAAGCAGAAGTTAAAGCCAGATGGTTCAATTGGCAAACATAAAGCAAGGTTGGTAGCCAGAGGATTTCTACAGAAACCTGGGCTGGATTATTCTGAAGTGTTTGCACCTGTAGCAAGACATGAAACAATCAGAATGGTGATTGCAATAGCTGCTAACAGGAATTGGCCTCTGATGCATTTAGATGTAAAATCTGCATTTCTGAACGGTCCATTAGAAGAAGAAGTTTACGTGTCACAACCTCCTGGATTTGTGAAAAAGAATCAGGAAGGGATGGTGTACAGATTATACAAAGCTCTATATGGATTGAAACAAGCGCCCAGAGCTTGGAATCAGAAGATTGATTCATTTTTCAAGAAGCAAGGCTTTCAGAAATGTGAGATGGAGTACGATGTCTATGTTCAGCATACTTCTGAAGGCAATATGACTCTGGTATGTTTATATGTTGATGATATACTATTGACTGGAAGTTCTGAACAGGAGATAGCCAAGTTCAAGAAAGTTCTGATGAATGAATTTGAAATGACTGATCTAGGCAAAATGACATACTTTCTAGGGATGGAGTTCAGATATTCTGAGAAAGGTATCATTTTGCATCAGCTCAAGTATGAATTAGAACTTCTGAAGAGATTTGATCTGAAGAATTGTAAGATGGCTGTCACACCTTCTGATACAAATCAGAAACTAGATTCAGACTCTGGAGGAAAGGATGTGGACGCTACAACCTTCAAACAGTTGGTTGGTTCTCTGAGGTATCTGTGCAATACCAGACCTCATATTTGCTACTCAGTTGGGATGGTTAGTAGGTTCATGAGTAAACCTAAGTGGTCCCATTACCAAGCTGTTATCAGGATTCTGAGGTATATCAAAGGAACTCTGAAGTATGGAGTGTTATTTCCCTCTGGAGAAAATAATGAGTCAGAACTTCTGAGTTATTCAGACTCTGATTGGTGTGGAGACAGAGTTGACAAAAGAAGTACATCTGGGTACTTGTTCAAATTTCTGGGAGGTCATATTTCTTGGTGTTCCAAGAAGCAACCTGTTGTGGCGTTATCAACCTGTGAAGCTGAATACATTGCAGGTGCTGTTACTGCATGCCAAGCTGTGTGGATTCTGAATCTGTTGCAGGATCTGAAGATTAAAGTAAGCAAACCTCTGAAGTTGATGATTGACAACAAGTCTGCAATCAACCTTGCCAGAAACCCAGTGTTGCATGGGAGAAGCAAGCATATTGAGACCAAGTATCATTTTCTGAGACATCAAGTTCAGAGTGGAGTGTTAGAAGTTGTACACTGCAGCACTCAGAAGCAGTTGACAGATGTTCTGACGAAAGCTATCAAGACTGATCAATTTCTCAGATTAAGGGATGAAATTGGTGTTACAAGTTTTGATGGAATATGAATTAAGGGATGGTATTAGTAATAATTCATATTTTATTATATTACTTTCTTAAGCCCATAAGTTTGTTAGAGGG